AAAAGGGCGATGGTCGCAAACAAACTGCACAAATACGTACTGACGACGCACGAACGCTTTAAGAGGGGCGGAAAGGAGACTCAGAATCCAGTAACGGACCACAAAAGAAAAAAAATAAAAGGAAGAAAAAGGCACCAATTCCTACGGCAGAGAAGCGATATGCGGAATTCCAACGTACGGCGGCCTTAGGACGTTTTGGAGCCTTGGCACAGTCGGATAGTGAAGAGGACGAGGACACAGACGCTATGGAGGCTGACGAAATGGATCCAACCCCGTTCACAGAAAGTAGTTACGAGAGGGAGGAGGCTCCGTATGCATAGGAGGGCTCAATGGTAGAGCATATTCACCAACATCACGAGGAAGGTGAAGACCCACACGTTGATACCATGACGAACCAACAGTTGAATCATTACGCCACAACGGATGCCATCATGACACCGGCGTGTCTGGATGGGGAGGATAGTAAATGTGGGGAGTCACAGGAAGGACACAAGGCCTTCTCCGTTATAGCGACGCATCAAGCGACCCAGCATGGACAACAGCCGATAGCTGCATCCGCCAAGTCGACGCGAAAGAATAAAATGCATTCCGGGAAAATCGGTCTCCAAAACGGAGCGATCAAGAGTATGCAGGTTAGCATGGCCACCTTCATGCAGACAGCGGCCAAGCTGGCAGCCCACGACACTACGGTGGATTCGGTGGATTCACCAGCCCAACTCGCGACGACCACCGATCTCACACAGAATGAAGCATCGGAGGAGGATTATGAGTCGGAAACTCCGGACTCACAGTAATCCGTGGAAATAGGTGAAAGTCGTCTAGGAACTGCAGAAGGTGATACAGATCTCCCCAAACAGATTGGGTTATGGCTAGCGAGTTTTGATGGAAAGGAAATCGCAGTGGCTGCCAATGGCCAATGTGCTTTTCTGGCGCTGTATGCTTCCACGCCCAACCACACACAAAGCCCAATGAAGTGTACACGCACAACAGTGAGAGGACCCACGGCACTTAAAAAAGCGGTGTACACATTGATGATGTGCAACTTCGGAGGGATGCGGCGCTACATTTAGTGGATCCGGTCCACGAGTATCAAAGACTGTATCCGGATCACCCTGGCTATGCGTCACCAGCAGCCGCAACGGCAGCGCTTTTTTCCCACCATGATGTCACCCGCCACAAACAGATAGATAAGAGGGTAGCACCCACCTTCTGGGCTGGACCGCATGAACTCATGGCGATGTCCCAATACTTGAGGGAACCGATTGTTGCATTCGACGTTAACGCCCACAACGACGCACATATGCAGTGCTACCTATACAAGCAGTATAGACTACCAGATGGGACAGACCATGAGAGTGGATACGGAAAGAGCTTCACAGAGAGGCAACTGAATATCTCAAGAACTGTTGGGACCTACACATAATTCCAACATGCCTGGTGCTCCGGCACCATGAGCGCCACTTTTATTTTATAGAGCTAGCCATGGGGACCTATATCTTCAATGGCGTGCTGAAGGTGACGCAGAGTTCGCAGAGACAATCCCCAACTCGTACACTTGGAAATCCACAATTAACCAGCTCACGGAGTCGGAACGGAAAGCCGACCTGCATACTGTTAACCAACTGGGAAATATGGACTCTGTTAACTCGTTATTGTGCAAACGTATGGAGATGAGAGAACGACTGGATGTAGCCCACGCCCGGCTTGGATTACCAGTGCTGGAGTCATTTTCACCAGACTACGATGCAGAAGCAGCGGTCACATGCGAAAATCAACAAATACATGAAGAATACGGACTAGATCATCTGGCTGCGTCATCTCAGACACCAGGAGATTCATCTAGCAAGCACGACGAAGTCCCTACTCGCATTGCCCGAGTCGCAACTGGGCCCGTTAAGACCAACTCGTACTTTCGCATCTTAAGAGACTCACCGGACTCTCCAATGGACCACGTGGATAAACCATGAGCGGTGACAATAGAGGCCGCAAACGGTGAGGCATTCCGCACATGGTGTGAGTTGTTCCGGGCCAAACTGAAAATTCCAACCACAAAACGCAGACGTGGAACAGCAGCAGATATCATGGAATGGCTATAAAAGACCCTGGAGGCACTCCGGCACCTGTATGCCTTCCTCCCATACCCCGAACAAGAAGCTAAAACCTGGGAGATGGAGCCTCTAATTGTGTGGGGTTTGCTGGAGGCTCAAAGAGAACAAGTGAACGCACTTCGGCGTCTAGTTGACGGCCCAACAATTGCCAGTAGAAAGTACGGCAAGGAATGGATCCAGGAGTGCACAGCTACCACCTCTGATACCCACACAATTCAACAGCTAGCGGGATCATCTGAGAGGTGGGCACGCCTCGCGCAATGGGTGCCAGAATCCTGCTACCGTCAGCAGCCAGCTTCATTAACTGACTCGAAATGGGGAATCTTACATGCAATCCCTTTCATTGTCAGCAATTGGACAGAAACCCCGATGGGTAGAGCCCCACACGGGGCTCGGGCGGTTTCGTACGATCAATTCCCCCTTTATCAGAGGATTGTGCCACCAAGTAGTGAATCACAACGATTGGAGCTCGGCAATCTATGCCCCAGCTGAACACGTCTGGGAGGAATGAAGGGACAACGCAGTCACCGACTCCTCCGGGACGGAGGCCAAATAAAGGCACCAAGGTGCCGCAAGGGTCGAGTATCGTAAGGCAGACGTACTCGACAACGGTGTTCGACGAAGAACACAACATGCCACAGGGGGCGGTGCGGAAGGACCGACAGAGAGGGGACCTAGCGAATATATCGGCACCAGCATCCACCACACAGACAGGAGCAGGAGCGAACAGCGGAGATCGTGGAACAACAGGATCACTGGGAATCGCACAGTACTTCGACCCGCTGTCTATAATAGAGCATCAACAATACATTGAAGACCAATTTGAGAAGGAGAAGCGTCTTCAAGCGCAGCGACGAAAAGCAGCAGACAGAGACACGGACAAGGCCCACCAGGGCTCTCCAGATGACCTCCACCCTCAAGATCAAACTTACGGTTTCATCACGCAAAATGTCAACGGTCTGGGGGCGACTGAAAAGGATAGAGATATGTGGTTTCGAGCTTTTGGAGAACAGGATGCACATGGCAGAGCGGATGTGTTATTGATTCAGGAGACTCATGTAGCGGCTAGCGAAGTTGGATACCATGAGAGACTGTATGCGAAGCGGTGGGGTTTTAAGACCGGTGTACAGCAACCCATCCATTCCTGCTGGTCACCATCACCAGATCGGAAAGGAGGAGTCGCCATCTTGGCTCACCAGTACGGAGCTTTCACAGACATGACACCATTCATGGAGGATCGATGGTCTCCCAATTTTATGGCAGTCCAAGGCAAACTAGCCGGAGCGCTTACTATTGTGTGCAACATATATGCACCCCACCGCTACACTCCCAGAGAGCGGTTCTTCCAGAGCTTACAATCACTGGTATTCCCAAATGGAGCCCTAATCTTTGTCTTCAACAAGGGCGTAGGGGGCACAGCACCGACTGTGTATATAACACCAGGCCACGAAGCTTATAGACAGGACGACACACGGTTAATGTCAACACTCTGGCAGACTGGCAGGAACATCATTCTCGAA